CATTATCGTATGCGACAGCGCAAAATATCACTGAATTTTACACCTGTGAAATTTTATGACCGATGGGAAATATATATTTTTTGTCAGTGCTTCACCCGCACTCAGAAGTATATATAAAGTATTTTGTCCATGGAGTATGGACATTAACATATGCATGCTGGCAATATTAGAAAAGAAAAATAAAATCTTTGCCCACTAAGACCTATAGTAAACTAGAATAGAGCAAAGACATAAATGGGTATAGACTTGACAAAATAAATTTTGAGATAATAGTTTATGGCTGGAGCATCTCATGTCTGAGGCTTGTCAAGAGTAACAAGTAAAAACGAGTAAAAAAGCAGTAATTTCAGCCGGGCCGAACTTTGAATACCCTCCACCATTTGGAACGAATTAGAAAACTTTCAAAACATAAAATCCATTAAACATTCTGTTAAAATCTTTAAAATATCTAATATCGGAAGGTTTATACGATATACGATATTGTGGACCTATATAGACAATTACCTTTCAGTGCTCACAAAGAACTCCTTGTGTGGATTTTCAGACAATACCATTGGAAATTATGGCTAAAATCATCAAAATACCGAATATCGGGGGTTCCGTTATATGGTGGATATACGGTATCGTCTGCATATATAGATAATTCTCTACCAAGGGATAAAGTACCCGCAAGGAACTCCTTGTGTGGATTATCAGACAATTCCGCTGAAAAATATGGGTAAAATCATCAAAATACCGAATATTGGGGGTACCATTATATGGGGGCTATACGATATCGTCTGCATATATAGATAATTCTCTACCAAGGGATAAAGTACCCGCAAGGAACTCCTTGTGTGGATTATCAGACAATTCCATTGAAAAATGTGGCTAAAATCATCAAAATACCGAATATAGGGGGGTACAGTTATATGGGGGCTATACAAAAGAGGGATCTGTATAAAATGTTAGCTTCCTATCTTAATTCGTTTAGACTGTATCGTGATTACAACAGACGGACAGACGGACGGACAGGGCTAAATCGTCTTAGAATTTTACGCTGATCAAGAATATATATACTTTGTTGGGTCTAAAATGATTATTTCGATGAGTTACAATCGGAATGACGAACTTAATATACCCTCCATACTATGTATGGTGGAGGGTATAAAAATAGATACCAACATGTAAAAAACCTTAAGTTCGACCCGGCCGAATTTTTAATACCCTCCACCTTAGGGTAATGGAAACACTAGAACCAATTATGTCCCACAAATACCAATTTTTAGACATATTCGTTGGAAAATGTGGCAAAAATCATCAAAATACCGAATATCGGGAGGTACCGCTATATAGGGCTATACAAAAACGTGGACCTATACATACAATATTTCGCCAACGGAGCTAGAACTCATTTTTAGACAAATCCGTGATAAAATGTGACAAAAACCACCAAAATACCGAATATCGGAAGATACAGGTATATGGAGGCTATAACAATGCAAACATATTTCGGCTCACGAACTAGGACCCATTATGACCTACAAGTACCAATTTTCAGACAAATCCGTGAAAAAATGTGGTAAAAAGCATCAAAATACCGAATATCGGGGGGTGCCGTTATATGGGGGCTGTGCCAAAACGTGGACCTATACATGAAAAATTTGGCCACCGAAGCTAGAACCCATTACGACCAACAAATACCAATTTTTAGACAAATCCATGAAAAAATGTGGCAAAAATCATCAAAATACCGAATATCGGGAGATACCGTTATATGGGGGCTAAACCAAAACGTGGACCGATATATCTCTTTTTCAATACCAACCATCCTAGACATAATACAAATTATTTTGCTAAATTTTGACGCTCTACGTCAAATAATGTTGGCTGTATCGTGATTTCAACAGACAGACAGATGGACATCGTTAATTCGTCTTCGTCAAATTTTATGCTGATTATGAATATAGATACATTATGGGGTCTACGACGAATATTTAAAGATGTTACAAACGGAATGACAAAGTTAATATACCCTCCTTTCCAATTGTATCGAACTTATGTTACAAATTATTTAAATAATAATTTAGAGATTAAAATCGCTTAACTTTGGTTACAATGTTGCTTTAATATCAAAAGGACGGTGCTACATCCATCCGATAACAATATTTAGACTGTGAGTTGTCCCATCTTTATACTTCTTTCTTTGTCTTTGTGCAGAGCCAGATGATGCACGAGAAAAGCGAGATTCAAAGAAATATATGTATTACTCGTGCTTTATGATAGAATATCTATCGAAGGTGCCACTTTATCTTAAATCTACAATCGCAGTCATCGCTTGTAACGTTATCTCTTTTACTGCGGCAGATTTTGCTCTAGGTTTGAAGATCGGTTGTATGACTCAAATGAAACCCTCAAAATCTGCAGATTGTGAGCCACTTCTCGCAATAACAACACATTTGAACATCAGAACAATTGGCTTTAAGGCTGAAAGTAGAAAATTATATATGGGATCTCATGTTACCAGTTTTGTCCTCGTTGCTTTTAATTCCGCCAACATTTCATGTATTGATGGTATCGGCTTCGAAGTGTTGGGCACATTCATATAGCCCCCATATAACGGTACCCCAATATTCTGTCCACCAATAGCACCTCGCTTTTCAACAACCCCCTTATATCTGCACCCTCGTATATTCAGCATTTTTTACGTTTTATCAGATTTGTTTGGTTCACGTTTGAGTATAGTAGTCAGCACCAAAGTCCAACGCCATAATTTTTACATTTCTTTTAAATTTTATTGAATGAAAGCAAACAAAATGTCACGCGCTGCCCGAATGTTGATCTGTGGTATTTTGGCCCATTCCCGGTGAAGCGCTTGCTTGAGGTGATCGACACTTTGGTATTTTTTAGTGCCAACCTCAAAAGTACTCCAGACACAATAGTACAACGGATTGGTATCCAAAGATTTTGGTGGTCAATGTGCGCTGAAAATCAAGCGAGGAACATCATTTCGGTGCTGAGTTCTGTTGGAATGTCCAAGGTTTGTGTACCCAAGGTTTTAATACACGTTCCAGAATATTTTCGCGACAATATTCGGCATTTATTCTGATGCCACGGTCTATTAATACGAGCGAAGAGCGACCATCGGCTGTTATGGCGGCCCACACCATCACCATGGCCGGCGCTTGAGTTCTGGTGACCAACCGAAGATGCACAGTTTCAACTGGCCTCTTTGGCAAGTAAACACAATCATTTTGTTTGTTTACAAACTGCTGGACAACGAATGTTTTCTCATCGGAGAAAACCAAATTCGGCAGTTCACAACTTTCGGTCAAGCGAAGCAAATCTTTAACTCTTTTGAGTCTATTTTCTTTCTGTTGCGGTGTATGTTCTTGCACTTTTTGGAATTTCAATGGCTTTACACTGAGCCTTTTTCCAATATTTGCCGAATGGAATATTGCGATATGTTCAGATCACGAGCCATTTTTCGGCCACTGCGACGCGGGTTTCGATCAAGTACCTTCTTTACTTTTCGAACCATATCTGCTAATGTTGCTGTTTTCTTCCGTCCACTTCATTGACGTCGGGCTACGCTACCAGTATTACTGTAACGAGCGATGGTACGAGTCACAAAAGATTTATTCACATTCAAATGATGGAGTGCTCTAACGATAGCCACATGTAGTTTTCCGCCAAATATAAAGAAATCACGCTTGAATTCCATCACGAATAACTTTTTTCTGGAAAATTCTCACCAAAATGCTTTTGTACGCTTGTAAACAATACTATGAGCTGTCACTGGAATAATTTTAACAGCTGTCGGACGAGTGGCTTTGAAATGACAGCAGTCTGAAGTTGGTTGTAGTTTTTCCATCTCACCCTGTATAATCCAATTTAGATAAAATTTTACAGAGGTCATTCAGTTGACCAGAGGACTCGGGTAAAATTTGTTATAGCTTCCGTATATATGTTCTTCCGATTTGTTTTTATTGTGCATCAAATGTGTAATATCAGCCCAAATAGTATGAAATTTGGCAGTAGGTCAACTTTGGTGAAAATTGGTAGGTGATGTTCATTCGATTTTTTATTGAAAAAGGTATGAAATATATATCAGAAGGACCTCTGCCAAATTTTATGGAGACGATTCAGATCTGGATAAACCTCTCATATAAATTCTTATCCGATTTCAGAAATTTGTGCACCAAACGTTAAATTTCGTTAATTTCCCCCATATATATTTTCCTGACATTTTGCGCTTAACTCCCTCATATTCGTAATATGCACTCAACAAAAATGATATTGGGTACCAGATTCCTGCTTAGAAATGCCTCTGCCAAATTTTATCGAGGTCGTTTCAGGTTTGGATATAGGTTCCATCCGATATCTTCATCCGATTTCACGGTTATTGTGCACCAAATATGTAATATCGGACCTAATTGGATGGATTTTCGCACATTCAACTGAATTTTCCCATTTCGCGAAACTCATTTCCCATATATCAATTGCTCTGATGATGGCTATAATACTTTTCGAAGTCATATGATGCACTCTAAAGCAGTGTTATTTAGCACGAGCGGTGAAATTGCCTTCGTCAAATTCGGTGGAAATCGATACTGAGTTTCATGTACCTCCCATATGTTAATCACCCAAGAACTTTAGACAAACAATAACAAGTCATTTACAGGTGAATGTATTTAGAACAAGTTTTACAAACCTTACATTCTTTAAAGAACGGACCACGATTTAAAATGCAAAATTTATGTTTAAACCAAAAAACAAAACTGCCTCTTAAATCTTAGTTGTGAAACGGACACAAAATTGATCACCTTTTTGTTTGTTTTTGATAGTTTGACCCAAACCAGAGAGCAAACCGAACTTTTCTTGTACTTTTCTAATGCACCTCAAAAACAAAAAAAAAAACAAGCAGAACGCCAACAAAAACTGAAACCATTGAGTTGATATCACTTTTATCATTTGTCATTTAATCGAGTCGTTTTTGTTGTCATTTGTCTTTCTTGCAGTTTTGCCGAAATTTGATCCATTTATCAGCGGTCTACAGCATACCTACAGATACCATGATTACATCCAGTTGAATTGCAGTTCGGAGGGGTCAAATCCTCCGGCAGCACTTACGTGGTACATCAACAACAAAACGGTATGTAGAAAATATAACTCATACTCACTCTCGCACACTCACACATTCACATCCACACTCCAAGCATACAAATATAGACTTTGGATTTGCCATTCCTAGTTGTCCCTGTGGCTATCTGTTCCCACAAAAAGACAGTCACACACACACTCACCCTGGCTGATGCTTATATAGTTCCACATTTGGTTTTATGTTGCTGTTGTTTCTGTTGTGTTATTGTTGCAATTTTTGTTGTTGTTGTTTTAGTTGCCGTGATTGTAAACGTTATTGCCGCTGTTGTAGTTCTGATAATGGTGCAATTTAACCAGTACAATTTGTGACGGAATAGATATGCACACACATATGCACGTACTTATGTATCTGTGTGAGTTGTGTGTGCATGTATTGTAGAACAGCAAAAATTTTGAATGTCACCGAAATTTTAAAGCTGATCCTATTCTTTGGCTGTGACGGCCAACAGTTCCTCTCAAAAGTGTGACATTTGCCATTTTTATCATTTCTTAAAATGTAAAAAACAAAAGGTTGTGAGGGCGTTATATGTTTTGATTGGGCCAAAAAGTGTGTATCGAAATATTGGTCCCAGACTCACCATGTAGTATATCAATCCTCAGATCACGACGAGCAGTTCCATCCCTTCGTATGTTGGTTTGATCGTGAAGAAATTTTGTATGAAATTGGGTCCGAATAGAAGCTAACTATTTTTGGAGATATTCGCAAAATATTTACAGAAGCAAAGAGATCTGATTTCGCAATCAATCTATAGGTCACAAAATTAGAGACCACTCTAAGCGAAATTTTGCAAGGGTTAAAACTTAGGACAGCGGATTTTCATCGGATAATATTAAAACGGTAAGATGCATCATTTCCTTTGTGTGAAATATACCAACATTTCCATTTAAACGCGAATACATTCAATGCTGAAAATCACTTTCACGTGATGTCATAATCATTTTCATGTCATTTTGACCCTATAATTAATGCTGATTTCCATGTCAGATATGAGCGATGCAAAAAATCTATTTAACAGAGGTTATAAATAGAGTGCAATTCCCACGAAATTTAGAATTGGTCGAAACCAAGATAATCCTTTTGTAAGAATGGAGCAGATAAAAAACATATATCTTCTTAAAAAATATGAACAATTTTTCCAATACCAAGAGCTCCCAAAGATGGGAATAGCTTAATCACAATGTAGTATAATCCAGCATTAATAACAACGCCAAATAAACTGTCCTGCCAAGAGACTGTTGTCAGAAAGCAAAAAAAAAAAACAGCTAAATTCGACCGGGCCGAACTTTTAATACGAAAATGTCATCGAAAAATACCGTTTATACTAAAACCGTTTTATAGGGGCTATACGAAGACGAATACCTGCATACGCAATTTTCAGTCACAGATGGTAGTACCCATTAAGAACTTCAAATACGAAATTGGAAACAATTCCGATTTAAAATGTCGCTTCATCAAAATACAGAATATCTGGAGGTATCGTTATGTACGGCTTATACGAAGACGTGGACCTGCACAGAAAATTTGTCATCATAGGTTAAAGTACCCATTACGAACTTCAAATACGAAATTAAAAAAAAAACAGTAAAGAAAGTCTTAAAGTCGGGCGGGGCCGACTTTATGATACCCTACACCACTTTGCTAATTAAGTAGAGCTCCACATAACAATTAAAAGTTTTTATGGGAGAATTCATTCATACACGCTATGATAATAATTATAATTCAAAGTTCAAAGGACTAAATATGCCGAAGCATTTGTATCTTTTAAATTCGGAATTGTATTGCCCATTTGGTGCACAATTAATTTGAAATCGGATAAAGATATGTATGGGAGCTATATCCAAATCTGAACCGATCTTGATAAAATTTGGCAAAGATATTTCCGGGCTGTATTTGATATATTTCCCTGAATATCGTTGTTACAGAGTGCATATTACGGCTGTGGGTAACAATTTGGTTGAACAAAATATATATGGGAGCTATAGCTATATCTGAACCGATCTTCACCAAATTTGGCATACTAGCTTCTAGACTCAATTCGGTCGCATGTGCCAAATTCCATCCCTTTTGGTCATATATTAGACGTTTGGTGTACAATAAAAGGTAAATCGGACGAAGTTATATATGGGAGCTATATCCAAATATAAACCGATTTCGATAAAATTTAGCAAATGTATTTCTGAGCTGTATTTGATATATTTCGCCAAATATTGTTGTTGCAGAGTGCATATTACGGCGGCGGTTAACAAAAATAACAAATCGGATGAACAATATATATGGGAGCTATAGCTATATCTAAACCGATTTTGATCAAATTTGGCATACATATTTTCAGGCCGAATTTAGGTGTATATGCAAAATACCATACAATTCGGGCTGATATTACACGTTTGGTGCACAATAAAAGGCAAATCGAACGAAGATATATATGGGAGCTATATCTAAATTTTTACCGATCATCTCCAATTTCAATAGGGTCCGTCCTTGGGCCAAGCAAATGATCTGTGCAAAATTTCATTTAGATCGGGCAATAAATGCGACCTGTACTTTGTTTACAAAAATACATGGACAGACGGACAGACGGACGGACGGACATGCATAAATCGACTCAGAATGTGATTCTATGCAGATCATCAAAAGGAACTATGGGTCTATCTCGTTTCCTTTTGCCTGTTACAAACAAATGCACAAAGACATAATACCCTGACCACCTTGTGGTGTAGGGTATAAATACAAATAAAAAATCAGTAATTTCGGGCCGAACTTTGAATACCCTCCACCATTTGGAAGGAATTAGAAAATTTTCAAAAAAATAAAATCGATTAAAAAATCTGTTAAAATCTTTAAAATATCTAATATAGGAAGGTGCCGATATATGGGGGATATACGATATTGTGGACCTATAAAGACAAATCTATGTCTGCGTGTAAAGTACTCACAAGGAACTCCTTGTGTGGATTTTAAGACAATTCCATTGAAAAGTGTGGCTAACATCATCAAAATACCGAATATCGGGGGGTACAGTTATATGGGGGATATACGATATCGTGGACCGATGTAGCCCATCTTCGAACTTGACCTGCCTGCAGACAAAAGAGGGATCTATGCAAAATTCCTTCCTATCTTAATTCGTTTAGACTGTAGCGTGATTACAACAGACGGACAGACGGACGGAAAGGCCTAAATTGTCTTAGAATTTTACGCTGATCAAGAATATATATACTTTGTTGGTCTAAAATGATTATTTCGATGAGTTACAAACGGAATGACGAACTTAATATACCCTCCATACTTTTTTGGTGGAGGGTATAAAAATTATTTGAATATTATGACTAAAATCGTCAAAATACCGAATATCGCGGTGTACCGTTGTATGGGAGTATGCGATCTTCGAACCTGACCTGCCTGCAGACAAAAGAATGATCTGTTCAAAATTATAGCATCCTATCTTAATTCATTTTTTTTTTTTTTTTGTTTAACCGTAATGAAGCGCTACAGTGACATTAGCAGTAGTGGATCAGACAAATTGGCTAAAGACAGCCATATTTTGATAATAACAAAATATTGGACCATATACTCCTGGTGCATTGCCAAATAAAAGCTCAAAAAGTTAGAATAGCGTAGAGTGTTTGTGACTCATAGTAACACATGGATGTCCAAATGGTCAATAGTGTTATACCTAGCAACGAATACTGGTGAGAAATAACAAGGCTCTTAGCCTACAGGATAAAACAAAAGGATGGTACTCTCCTTGTACCATGTTCGGAAAATTCTATATCCCAAAATAAGCTTTCTTCATAGTGGGGAAGGCAAAGATTGGTGCAAACAGATTTATATGCAGGACTTGCAGGACAGGACTTCTAAGAGGTAATATCTCCAAGCAATAAAGAAGAGGAAGACCGTATATTATCGAGCTCGAAGCCCGCTCGTTTAAGGACGATGTTTATCGTTTCTATCGTATTTATTGAAAATACTCCAATGCTTTTTTGTGGACTAAATAAATTTAATATATGGTTTCGTTCATTCTTGTTCGCCCAAATCTGTCTTCAATCTACACAACTCTCAATGTTTAGTTCACAAAAAAGAAATACGACGATGTGCCATACTTTGAAAACGCACTGTTCACATAAGCTCATTTATGTGTGTGAGTATGTTCATGCGTGAGTGTCCTCTGCTCTTCGTGTTTTTTTTATGTTTTCGTATCTGTGATTTATTGCACAATGTGCATTTTGTTGCATAGCTTTGATAGAGACTCCAACTTTGGGACGCTTAGGATGGGATAGGTCACCCAACTGGATACACAACAACAACAAATGTATTTAAACTCTCTAACTACCACACTCACACAGATATGTTTGGGAAACATTGTTTTGTACCATGTTGACGTTTCATGTTGATTAAAATTGCAATTGGGAAAAGTGTTTGTAATTTGGACTCAGTTCTACTCTGTCTTTGGTCATACTACAGGCCACAATGCCGTTTGGTGGGGGCTTAGTTGTGGGTCGAATTGCGTAGTGGAGAAGAGTTTTAAATAAATTAATATAAACTGGAAAAAAGAAACATAACTTCCGTAAAAATATTTGAACAACCACTAAATCCCAACCAAATCCATTTTATGCATGAATTCTTATATCAAGAGAACAAAGAATAAAATAACATCTTTTCATGCTCTCTATGCTGTGATATTTTCGAACACGAGTTTAATTATAAATTTCATTGACTAAAATGTTGTTTTTCAGACAGCAACTTTATAAAAATTGTCTTTTGATGTTTGACATGCATTTCATTGATGATATAAAATCTATTATTAATGGATCGGGAAAGAAAAATTTATCGAAAAAGCATTGAGAATATTTTTTTTTTAAATATAAAAACACTCTAAGAACTTAAAAAACTATAGTATAAACTATTGAGTATAGTAAAAGTACTTTATTTAGCATATAATTAAACAGGATAGTATTACTTAAAGTTTAAAGGATGTGAGCGCATTAAGG